TGCAACACTTTATGTTTTTTATCATAACACGTTGCCATCGTTGTGATGTAGTAGGGCGTACATTGGACAGCTCTGTGTTTTCATATGATATATTACTCAACATGGCTCCTTGAAACTGTTTTTTCAAGGTTAACTTTAACCTTTAAACTTGTGGACACTACACTGCTAACAAACAAACTAAACAAAAAAGTTATAAATATACATACGTGTGGGTTTGTGTGTGTGTGTACGTACATAAAGGACCCTAACACGCTGCATGACCTCCTCATCCACATCTTTCTCAGGCTCCGCCCAGTCGACCTGGATGGAGTGACCCCACAGCTGGAAAGTTCCTGTGGGACACAGCAGCATCACGTGACTGTAACGTGAGGGTGCTGATGGTTTAAACCCGTCAATGAATGAACAACACGCACACAGCTGGCTCTCCGCTGGCAGGACACACACATAATAAGGGTGGCTGTTAAAAAGAGGAAGTTTTCACGTTGCTCTCAGCAGATGAGGCTCCTCTTCCTCCTGATTAAACTTCCTGTTTCACACCATTGTGATTCTCATTTTAAATCTCACTTTCATTAAAAAAAATTTTTTTAAAGGGAACAAAAACCTTTTCATCTTTGTTTCCCTTCTAAAGTTGCTGCTGGTGGTTAGAGTAATAACCTCGGCTTTATACCTTCAGTTTCCTGTAGCTGCCCTGAATCAACACCTGCTTGACAGGTGTCCGACTCCACCGTGCAGGAAATCTGCAGGAGCAGCAGTTTGAAGATAAAATAAGCAGCTGGGGAACATGTTTGTGGTTAATCCGGTGAATCGATTGACTGAAGGATCAATGTCCAATGCAGCCCAGGGGCTGAGACAGGAGGGAACCGATAGCTTAATGGAAACAGCTAGCTGAACCTCCGGACAGCAGCGCAAACTCATCGGGAGGGGAAAGGAGGCAAAGGGGGGAACACTGCAGGGGTGTTCTCATACTCACGGCTCAGTTATCCAACATGATTAGCACTGTTAGAGCCACTGAACGTGATTTTTTCCAAAGTTTGAGCTTTAAATATGAGTAAAAGTGAAAAATAAAGACAAAAGAAAAAAAAGAGGCGGAGGTGAACACAGTGGCTCAAAGCAGCCACATGGAGCCTTCAATAACACCTCATCCCCTCTGCACACAGCTGGGTTACACCTCTGGGCACCTACAGTGTTTGGTTCAATGGTCAGTGGGATGCAGAAACTGCACGCGTGCTATTATCTGCACAATGTGTATTTTCTCAGATTTTCAGTTTCAAATTTCCAGACTGTCTTATTTAATCCACTTAACGTACATAATTCACTTACTTTCTGCATGTAATGCTACTTACTGCACATAGTGTCCTTCTGTATATATCCACTTAATGTATCGTGTGTCAGGATACATTCCACTGCATGTCGCACTTGTTTGTGACAGATAAATAATCTTGGCCACTCCCCCTGTCTTTGCAGACCGAACTCATCAATGCAAGACACACCGTCTGTCCTGCTTCAGATTCATTACAGCAGTTTGTTTCTGCAGTACTCTTGTATCACAGCAAAAAGGTTGTGGGTTCAAACCCATGTGGAGTTCTGAATGTTTCTTCTGCCGTTACAAAAAGCAAACATGCCGGGTTGGGTTGTTTTCTCTCTTACATCATCGCAGCACTCAGAGCGGCTGGAGCTCCAGTTTCCTTCATTGCTCTGTTTTTGTGACTTTGGTGCTTAAAGGACTCGAGCACTCCTGTGGATTCTACATCAGTGAACTCATCTTCTGCTGCTTAAACGATCAGAGCTTTGGAAGCTGCTGTCTTTCCTCTATAAACCCTCGGACCCAGAAGTCAGTCTGTGCTGCCCTCTGCTGGACGCTGAGAGGAACTGAGTCAGCTCAAAGTGAAAACAAACAGTGGACACACAGATGTCTTCAAAGGTTAGGAAGGAAACACGTGGAGGAGGAGGACGAGGAGGAAGGCTACCTGGAATGAGCTTCCTGCGAGCCATCGCTGCAGCTTTGTGGGACTCGTACTCCACAAAGGCGAAACCTCGATTTCTGTTCTTGTCTGTGGTGCTCGGGTACACGATCGCATCCACCACGCCGTCCGTCACCTGGACACATAGACGCAGAGGGGGAGGAGCAGAAACTGAGATCTGAGAGACACACACTGCTTCAGAAAAGAGAGCAAACAGTACGACAGGGAGAGTGAAAGGAATCATCTGATTTTAAAGTGCCTTAACTTGTCCTGTTAGAAAGCCTTTTGAAATAACAATATATATATTGTGTTTTATCATCATAAAATTCACAAACCAGCTCCATAAAAGTAGAACAGGAGGCGTCCTGCACAGATGTGACTCCCATCAAAAAGCCACAGTGTCAAACTAACAGACGGCCAGTGGGCTGCTCTGCTCTCTTTCCCGCTGAGGCCATTTTTACCATCTTTAACATGACGTTTATAAACAAATATCTGTAGGGGACCCATCTTTTTACTGAATATTTTCAGCTATTTTTTCAGGTTTTTCATCAAAGACGGAGAGGAGGAGGAGGTGGAGGAAGCTGCCAAGCAGCAGATCAATCACTACTGAATTAAACAGCAGCTGTGCAGAGAGCAGACAGCTGAGGCTCAAACTGAGAGGTGGCCGCGAAACTCTGCAAAGAAGCAAAGCTTCCACAGTGAGGACACATTAAAGCTGCAGAGCAGGCCAGACTGAATCTGAAATGATCCATCTGCTACCTGTAAGACTTTAACTTAGA